GTTCTTCCCTTTTGCCACACAAAAACAATTATCGAGCAGTTAGATGGCCCAGAAATAAAGGTTTGAGCCTAGACGTGCTCAGAATCCTCCAAGATGATACAATACTCTCCATATCGTAAATGGTTTTGTACTGCATGGGCTAATACGTAATACTGTTTCTCTGGCATTCCTCCTCTTACTCTCCACCCACTTCCCATTTATTGGAATGCCATTTATAGGAAAGACAACACCTTATAATTATTTTACTTGTCAACAATATCTAAAAGATTGTCTAAAACTTCATACAAATAGTCGAGTTCTATATTCCACAAGCAGGGAGACAAACTGGACAACAATAGAGAAATTTTCATTTATTATTTAACTTGTCACACTTCATCCACTAAGGCTCCAACTACCGTGAAAGAATAAGTGTAAACTTATTTTGACAGCCACGAAAGTTCTCATTTTAGTAGTAAAATCTTCTACTGCAATTTCTCCTATCCCTATCTCTACTTTGAATACATACAGTTCATCATATTCCAAGAAGTCCATCAAATTTCACATGTATAGAAGAGCTAGAATTGAATCCTGGCTCCCCAGCTTATGAGTTGAACAACTTTGGGAAAACACAGCTTCTTTGAGTTTTAATTTCACACACGCACACACACACGTGTGCATTGGAACAAAATGTAGACATGATTTTTAAGTCCCTTTGGGTCTGGAGAGAATACAAACTTTTATTTAAGCTTTCCCTCCTCCTTAGGTTGATGATTGCATGTCCCATTTTATGTTCTGTTAAACATAAAAGATCTTAAGACCTCTTAATGTTAATAGAAAATTTAAAAATATATTAAGTATCGTAGCTAAAAACAAATCAAACTTCCTATCCCCATGACCAGTTGAAATCACTGGTTTAGTCTGACCATCTACTGAATCAGAGTGATGACAACTGCCCTTGTGGTAGATCTTGCTGGCACAAACTTCCATCCTTTAAAGAAAATAAAGACTTGGAAATATACAATCCATCAAAGGCAGAGTCCTCCTACCACAACAAAAATAAGCAACTTTGCTTAAGCAAAAATTATTACTTATTCCCAGAGTAGACCAAATGGCTCCACTTGGAATACCTCAAGAAGCTGCGGAAAAATAAAAATTAGAAGACTCAAGCTCTTATCCCTATTCTGTTTCTTGCCAATGTTGGATAAGCTGCAATAACCTCTACCTTTGAAATAAGAATACTCTCCTTCGTAAATTACTTTAAGATCCTTCTGTAAGTACAGCAGTCTGACAGACCTAAAAACAAACTCCCAGTCTTGCAGAAGAATGCATGTTTCCCAAAGAAGGAGAGTCACAAATCATAGCTGGCTTGGCCTGTGTAATTCTCCAAAGCCTGGTTCACCCATCACATAATTGAGCTTTCTGGTTTTGCAGTTTCAGACACCTGAGGACCAGAGGATTGTTTCTATGTTTAAACATACCTGAATTCCAAATACAAAAAGCTGAATTTTCTATTTCACAAGTCAAGTGCCTACTATAACCTTAAAATGAGGCTAGATTTTTAAATTTAAAAAAAAAATGCACAAAAAATTAAGAAGGCCAGAATCAAGTTAAGAAGCATCACATAATCTAACATAAAAAAAAAGTAATTAAACAAGGTAACAGAATTTTACATCTAGAAAGGATGTTAGAGATAATCTGGAATAACCCTTTACTTTTAATGTTGATCTTATATAGTAGGAGTGACTAATATATAATGTCTTTACTTTGAGTTCACTCAATTAAGAAAATAATCCAGACATTGTTAAAGACTATCAGGCATGGATAATGCTCTTTCTAATATATATTTAACACATTATATATATTTAGTGTATTTTATATATATTTAATAAATAATGGTCTATTTAATATAGATCCTCTGGGCAAAGGTTTATTTTTCTCTCCATTCAGAATTAAGATTTCAACCATCCCAAATGGCAAAGTTAGCATATTTAAAAACCCTCTTTTAGGGGTTAATCTTCTCTATCATTTATTACACCAATGATACCATCTTAAATTTAAATAGTTCTGATTGCTAAGGAATTCCAACACATTTCATTCATATGCATACAAATCCTGAATTTAAACATATATCCCAGCCCTTACTACATGAGCATTTTGGGCAAGTCAAAAAAGCCTTGTATTTCCAAGCCACAGTTTCTTCATCTGTAAAATGGAAATAACCTGTTTTCACAAGGATACAAGGACCAAATTAAATGATGTGAACACATGTTTGGGAAGAATACTGATATATATATATATATATAAATGCATGTTATGATTAAGATCTCCAAATTCATACATTTCACTAAAGGAAAGAATTTTGCTCCAGATATTCCAGATGTTTGCTCAGATGCAGAAACTCAATGGCTGCTGAGTTGGCACGACATACTCTAAAACCAAACAAGTCTCCAGAGACTTTTCTATCTAAAGTTCTTTCTAGAGAAGTAGAGTAAGGTGTTAAAACTTAAGAATCTATATTTTAATTTTCACAGGTGGAGCATACACTTTTACTACATCCCTCCTGAGGGCAGGAATAGTATCTTAGTCATTATTTTAAGATGCAGTAACTGGGACAGAGACCAGCTCTGTGTTTATCAGAGAATACACTCTTCCAGAATAAAAATAAAATGTTCAAAAAATATATGTGAGGTAGAAAGAGCTCTGGCCCTGGAATAACGGATAATCATTCTCACACCATATATAATCTTACATAAGTCCCTCTAGTGTCCTGAGCTTTTACTTCCCTTTAAAAGTCTACATTGTAAGTCAGTAATGACCCTTTTTATCTGATGTCAGGCATCCACCAGAAAACTGCAAATAAGACCTCTGAGTGGCAAAAAGAAAAAAAAAATGTTTCTCACAAAGTCCATGCATGCACTTTATCCACAGTACAGGCCTACTGATTCTTATTTTAAGTATATTTCTAACAAACTTGGTTATTGGGTTATGAAATATTTTACACTGTTGGTTAAAAGCAGCAAAATAGATCAGATGTCGAAGGAAAGAGTAACTGGATAACCGTAAAGTTTCCTCTTCCTGATGCACGTAATAGAACCAGACCTTCCCAGAAAGGTACACCAGATTCAGTCCAAATCTATATTACAGCCTAATATCACTGAACACATAACAAAAGTTAGATTAGTGGAATCGCAAAGGAAAGGTCATGCAATTTTAACCTAAATTTGAGTTGTCTAAGAGACAACTTACATACAGAAATAAAGTGTATTATTTTACAGAATTAATTTTCTCCCCAATAAAGTTAATACACTGTACAGAAGTACAATGTTACTACTTGCCAACTACAGGTAATCAGCTTCTTCAAGACAGACCACATTTGCCAATTCTGGTCCTTAAAGCAAATGATAAAGCACCACGGCACCAGAACATAATACTCCTGAGACTGTCTCTGAAAGGACTTTCATCTATCAGTAATGGGCATCCAAATGCGTATGTCTTTTAGAAAGGTAAATACACCAAGAATCCCCGTACTGGCTAGGTGCCAAAAAAAGAAAAAAAAAAAAAAAAAAAAAAAAAAAAAAAAGCACCAAGAATCTTAAAAATGTTGAGCAAATTTTGGTATACTCACTAGATGGATATATGATGGGAACTAATTTTTGATGTAATATTAACTGAAAAATATCAGGGTTAGAGAGATAATGTGCTATAATAATAGTGTCTATCATATATGGAATGTTTACCATGTGGCAGCCTCTGGGTTAAGCACAAACCTGTGAAAATTATCCTTATTTTACAGATAGGAAAACTGAAGGGCAGAGGTTAAGTGACTTACTTGCCCACAATCATACAGCTCAGAGTCACTGCTCTGATTTGAATACATATGTATTAGTCCATTTTCTGTTGCTTATAACAGAATACCTGAAACTGGGTAATTTATAAAGAAATGAAATTTATTTCTCACAGTTTGGGAGGGTGGGAAGTCCAAGGTTGAAGGGCACATCTGCTGAGGGCCTTCTTGGTGGGGGCTCTGTACAGAGTCCCATGGCCACACAGACAATCACATAGTGAGAATTGCAAGAGCACATTAACGGGCTCACTTGCGCTCCTTATAAAGCCACGAGGGCCACTCCCGTGATAGCCCACCAAACCATTCATGGATTTATCCATTCAGAGGCCAGAGCCCACTGAATCCAATCACCTCTTAAAGGCTCCACCTTTCAAATACCAGAGTCGGATTTCACACTTCTTATAATTGTTACAATGGGGATCAAACTTCAGTGAGTCTTGGGGAGACATTTAATCCACAGCAACATATATTTAACATAGGATTATTTTGTTACATATAATTCAACTTTGCAGAGCCCCTTGGTGGTAGAATCAGCCTATGACCCTCCTGTGCTCTAGCTATACACTGGTCTCCCTGCCTAGGGTTTCTTTCAAGAATTAGTCAGTTTTTGACAACTACTACGACGGTCCAGAAGCAAAGGCAATAACCCCAGTAATACCCAAAAACTAACGTTGGCGGACGGCCTTAGCCTCAGGAGGAAGGCAATGCAGCGATTAACTACAGAGTGGAGGGGACAAGGCTAACAAGTCTTATAATACATACATCAAGGGAGCGTCAAGAATTCAGAGGAAACATACTCTCTCAGGGATGACAACATAAGTCACAACAATATCAACAATCCCAGCACCTTACACCAACGTAACTAAGCACAATTTCCAGAACGCCTTTAGGTTCACCTCAATTGATCCTTGCAAGAACCCGTGGACTAGCCTGGACAGGGATTAGTTCACTTTACAGAGGAAGCCGAAAGGAACGCAGTAGTGGAGCTGGCGAGCAGAAAAGCAACGAGTTTGAGCTTAGAGGCAGACACCCGGGGAGACTGGGTGCCTCGACCGACTGGAGGAAGAGCCCAGAGCCCGTGCCGGGGACAAGGCCCAGAGAGAGGCCGTGGTGCTGGGGCTGTCACCCGCCGAAGCTCAGGGACCTTGGAGGTCGGCCCAGGCACCTGGCTACTCACGCTGGACCAGCCGGTCTGCGGTGAAGGTGGAGGAGCAGCTGGTGACCAGCGCACAGGGTACGCCAGCAGCCATAGCTGCGCTCGCTAGCCGGTTCCGTCAGGGAGCCGCTTCCGCCTTGGGCTGCACCACGGCCGCCGGCGCGCGGGGGAGACAGGCAAGGAGGAGCGCGCTCTCGGAATGGACCGGCTGCCCTGACCCCGCCCTCACTCCCCCTTCCGCTCCCGGCGTAGAACAGGCCGGGCCGCGCGTGGTGTTGCCATGGCGACGAGCAGCCCTTGCTGAAGGGCACCGCGCCTCCGCGGGAGGTATCCCTACCCGGCCCTAGCCATGGCACAGGATCCTGAAAACTACGACCCAGTCGGATCCCTCTTAATCCAGGTGGGAAACGGGCCTCCCCTGGCCCTGCCCAGCTATGACACTTCCGAGCGAGGCCCAGCAGCGCCGATTCACTCGCGCCCACTCATTTGGGGCTCCGCTTCCAGATGGCCTCCAACATGCAAGGGGCTCCCCAACATGCCCACCTAGACCTCCCCCGCGGCCTAACACACTAACGGTGCCTTACCCTGGAGGTTGCGCTCCAGAAGCACGACCACTCTGCTTCTGGTAAAACTCCGCGACCGTTCACCCCGGAAACTTGACTTCAGAAAAATCCGTCTTACACTAAGGAACCTTTTTGAATATGTTATATTCTGAAAAATTTGAACTCATGACGCCGGGGAATGAGGGAGAGGCAAATCAGAATAGTAGGAAGTGATAAATTTGGGGAGAAATTAAAATATGTGAATTGCTTTTCTTAATCACTCCAGTTTTTTGGATCTAAATGACCCTTGGATGGGAACACACAGAAAAATATATGAAAGATAACTTGGATCACAAATCAAGTTAACGTTTTAAATATAGAATTGTAACAAATTTAAAATCTCAGGGAAATAAATAACTTTTTGTAATCTAAGGGGGGAAATATCAAGAATGTCTTGACTTCTCCAGTGTAACTCAGTTTGTAACAGTTACACTTCAGATTTTTCTGAAATGGTTATGGCATTTTGTTTGCTCACATTTACAAATGATAGCTTTAAAATGTTTCCACATATATCATCACTTTTAACTCATATTTAGGTCCTTTTGACTAAGGCTTGAAGTAATTTGCCTAAGGTTGTTCTATCAGGATTCTCACTCAGTGGATCTGAAGTGGGACTCACTCTTTAGATGGGTCTAATTTTTCTGTCAGAACTTTGGTCTCTTCCCATTGAGGAGAGACTTCCCTAAATTTGCCTTTTTAGAAATACAATACCCTAAACTCACCAATTTCATAGACTTCCCCATTATGAATCATACCTAAATCTTACTTCACCTTCTATCATCCTCTCTTTCACCATAACCCTGCAATGAGTTTAGCCAAACTGCAAAGTCTAACCAAACAGTCCCCAAAAGATTGCTCTCACTTCGACACCAGCTGCAAGTTTAGGGGTCCCTAGAACCACCCACACCTTAGACTAGCTGCTTACAAAGTTAGGGGCCCCATGACCACCCTTAGGTTTGACAACTTGCTAGAACGACTTATAAAACTCAAGAAAGTGCTAAGTTTACAGTTACGGTTTTACTATAGTGAAAGGATACAAATTAAAATCAGCCAAGGAAAGAGATGCATAGAGCAGAGTCCAGGAAGGGTCCAAACATGGAACTTCTGCTCATCCTATCCCTGTGGAGTCATAGACGTTTTTACCTCCTCCCAGCCACAACGTGTGACGGTATACACAGAGTATTGACAACTAGAGAAGCTTATGTGAGCCTTTAGTGTGCAGAGTTTTTACTGGGGCTCAATTTCGTAGAAAATTTACAAATTAATTTTAATCTTACAAATTAAAAATAGTAAAGTAATGTTTTGAGAAAATATCTAAAATATTTAAGAGAAAATATTTGAATACAGATAATCAGTGCTCTACTTAAAACTCTTTGTGTGACTTATTATGAAAACATGTGCCTTAAATGTTTGGATTTTCTGGGAGAGGTCTGATTGTGAATATTCTGTTCCATGTCAGATTATGTACCAAAGTGCATGTTTTCATTTTTGGTTTAGGAAATACAATTACTATCTCCACATAGAATTCTACTAGGCAGCATTTTGTTAACTACTTAACTTCTTTCGCTTACAAGTCTATAGTTCAGACTTTATACAATTTTAGCTGGATCTTTCCTCAGCTAATCATAATAGTGAAGTTTTACTATAGTAATAGTAATCATCATTATAATTAAAATAATAGCCAACGTTGATAAGGGCCAGACACTGTGCTGAGAGCTCTGCATTATTTCATTAAGCTCTAACAACTGTGTTTGGCAGGTATTATTTTTAGCCCCAGTTTACAGAAGAAACTAAAGTACAAAGAGATAAGGTAACTTACCCAAGGCGATATACATCAGTATGTGTTGATCCTTAAATAGCTTATGGCATGTTTGTGAAATAATCTTGAAGTGTGATGGTGACTCTGGGATGTTTTCTATATGCTTTTTTTTGTTGTTAGTAACTCTTATAAGATTTGTTTTTATTCTTCATTAATAATTATGTGCTATCTTTTTAAATATCTTTATAAATGCTTGCTTGACCCAACTATTAAACATATGTTTGTGCAACAAGGACTAAATAATTAAATAGTTAAGATTAACTTTTTAATTAGTTTTGGAAATCATATTTCAAAAATCCAACAGTTGTGTAACACCAACCTTGGAAATACTGAAGCTAAATTGACAGTTTGGTATTTTCACTGTCTTTCTTATCAGTCTCCCTGTCTGATTTGCCAGGAGCAGATAGTATAAAAATGAATGCGGTTAAAGATAACTTGAAGTGTTGAGAATGACTCGGCGAAACTCTGTCTTTAGCAGAGATTAATAAAATGGAATGTTATATTGCTCTGACGATATGGTGTCTGGTTTCATGGCTGTTTTAAATTGTAGAGTAAATCTTTGCTGCATTAAATCTTTCAAGGGCTTCTTATTAAGCAGCTCTGTCCCCAAACTGTCAAAGTAATAATCTTTCTCCAAGTAGAAAATTTATGGAAAGCAATGTATTTGGTGATCACAGAGATGATAGATGATATAAAATTTCAATATGGTAGATTGGATCTATTTGACAAAAGAACAGAGATTTAGAACTTAATTTCTTTTCCCACCGTTGTTTTCTGGAACAACATTTCCTACAGTCTCTATTGCAATTATACAAACAGATGGGTGATTATTAAGAGGGGAGGAGAAAATATCTGGCAAGAAGGATAAAAAGCTCTTGAGAAAGATTGTGGGAGCAATTTAATTCAGTGAACATTTACTGAGTATCAGTTACATGCAAGGTGTTTCACTAGGTTTTACAATTTAGGAGAGCAGAATTGACATTTGCTCAGTGTCCTTCTATGTGGCTAGCACTACACAGAGTACTTTACTTACTTTAACTTATTTTATTCTTGCCACCATTCAGAAGTAGTTGTTATCCCCATTTTACAGATGAGAACACAAAGAGGCTAAGTAACTTTCACAAGAATAGTGTAGCAGAGGAGGAAGCAGGATTCCAGTTCATATCTGTCTCGCACCAAAGCCTATGTTGATTCATTTTCTTACATATTACCTCATTTTCATTCAATAATTCTGAACAGTAGGGTAATTATGCTTTTCATTGATGAAGAAACTAGAGGTTCAGAAACTTTGGATGATATGCATGGAAATCATGTGACTAGTAAGTGATAGAGCTAAGAATTATGTTCAGCTGCCTTTTATTGAGTTCGTACTATGTACCAGGCCTCACAACTCTATGAAGAAGTAGTGTTGTCCACACAAGGTAGATGAAAAAACCAAGCCTTTGGTAACCTGGTGAGTAATCCATTGCGGTTTTCACTCTCTGGCAGTCGACAGGCATAATTACAGAAAGATACATGGAGCTACAAGTAGTAGAGGAGAGAAAGTCAATGCATTCAAAGGGGAAACCAAAAAAATATGGGCCTAGAAAGGGCCTTGCCCTTGAACTGCAATTACAGAAAGATACATGGAGCTACAAGTAGTAGAGGAGAGAAAGTCAATGCATTCAAAGGAGAAACCAAAAAAATATGGGCCTAGAAAGGGCCTTGCCCTTGAACTGCCCCTTTGTACTTTTCAAATATTTTCAAACAATAGGTGGTAAATCAACTTGCAGCAGTAATTTGGATGAAACAATCAAAAGTACATCTTCATCCTTAGTGTCTGCAAGCAAGCAGTAGGTGTGTTCAAATTTCAATCTGTGAGCCCTGAAGGCTTTACATGAAAATTTGTGCAGAGTACAAATGACCAGATGTGTCTGCCAGGCTGTGATGCCCATCAGTGAAAAGATGCAAATTCTGATCTTTTGAATACTTGGCTCTATGGGAACATTCAAACGTAATCAATATCATAGGCTGGATCAATGTGTGAGTCCAGTGATACTAACGGAGAAAAGGTAACCATTTCAAAATGCCTTTAGCAACCCAGTCTGCAGATTGTTATTGGTGTGACTATTGCTGAAACAGGTGTTGGGTTCATAAATTTGCATAACAAAATGTTTTTCTTGTGGCAGCAGCCCATACAATAATTGTGGCCATCTGTATTTATCTGAAGTTTGGTTTCTAATATGAATACAGAGAATCTTGTGCTTTCCAATTTCATAGTGCCCATTTCATTCTGAGGGTGCCTGATGTTAGAGAGATGTTCATCATTTCCAAGGAAAACAAAAATTGAAGGAAAAATTTAAAGTAATAACATGTTCTTTTTCTTCATGGATCATCTTCATTTCTCACGATATAAGACAAAATCAAGGCCACAGCAGTACAGATCTGCTTCTTTAGAGCAGTGAGTGTGGAAGATCCAGCTAGGAATGGAAAACCAGCTGGTTCTGACAACACACTTACAATACTCTTCTGAAAGGCACTGCTTCTGCTAGAACCTCTCTTTACTGGAAGTTTTCTGTTTTCTTACCTCTTAACCAATTTGTGGAAATTGGAGTCAGGCACAAACTTTTTACCATCTCTGGCTCAACTGCTTTACCACCTAAAAAAGCAGAACCCAGTTGAGTTACAGTTTTATTTTAAATCTATTTTTAATGGGAGAATGAAAAATGGAAATTGTATGAAAGCTTTGTTTTTCAAAATCTGAGAGACAGTAATGGGCCATTCTACATAAAGAATGCCTTAGAACCGTAGAGGTAGTCCTTTTCAATGAAAACCATAGAATCGACTTCATGGCTCTAGCAATTCAAACACATTGCAAAACTATAACATAAATAACTTCAATAGGTAGATTATGTGTGTATTCTTTCAATATTTTATATTTTTATACCTACAGGTTCATGAAGACCTTTATCAATTAAAGGAGAAATTAACAAAATTCCAACATGAAGAAAAAGGAGAGACTCTAGACATTCAGAATCTTGAAACAGCAATCCAAAGGACTGAAATAGGGTTGAGAGTAAGTAGAGCTTTAGATATTAAATACAGTAGTGGAAGGAGACAAAGAAGCCTCTACAAGAAAAGAATTATGGTTCTCATAGGGCAGTCATCAGCATTCTCATTCGGTTGGTTTTTTTGAATGTTAACTGATGGATTGATTTATATACTTACATATTCCACAAAGAAGTTAAGGAGATTAAATGTAAGATTATGTAGTTTGATTTAAATAAAAAACAAAAAACTTAGAGTTTAAAAGATAATTACTGTCAATCCAATAATATGTCTGACCCAAAAAAGATTCATATCAATATAATACAGATTTACTGGGATTTACTAGGATTCTGAAAAATGGGTTGACTTTTCCCTAATAGCTAAAGTGTTTTGAGTTATTAATTTTCATAATATTATAATCAAATGGGTAAAACCAGAGAAATATATCAATTTTGGAACAGAAAAATTAAGTAGATAGGGACTTCATCATTATAAACATATCTAAGGGCAGTAGAGAATCCAATCTTCACAACAGGAAAATATTCATTTATGAAATAAGGATGCATTAGATAATAGGGTCCATTTTCCAAATAAGATCGATCTCTGTCTTCTAGATGGAGAATATTCATTTCCTTATTTTCTCTGCTCTTGCTTCACCTTTCACCCTACTATGTAATCAGCTTCATCTCTCAGTTCCTGAGGCTGTGAAAAATGTATTCTGTAGCATCATCAGACTAGCACATCATTGTCCTAGTGAGAGGGCTGCCCCTAGCTGGAGTCTTTGGGTTGGCCGTTTTAGATAATCTGTTACCAAAATGTTAAATGCTTTCCTCAGATGCTTGCTTGAAGTCCCTGTAAGAGAAAGACATTACTCATGTCTACTGCCTAGTAGATTTACCTGGCTCAGTAATTTACTGACTATTGTGCACAGTTTCATTTGTGAAGAGTGCTTGTCACTTGAGCTTTGAGTCTCAGTTGTATTATTATGCTTTTGGGGATAGTTGAAGTAGTTTGGCCTTGAGATGCCTAATGATACCTTAGGCATATAATAACACATAGCATGTTGAGTTTTTTGCCTTAACTACACGATTCAGATTCAACCTAATGAAACAAAGTAAATTAGCTGAGTATAAGTCCACTATAATGGTCTAAACTTTGACTTTTTTGTAACAGATTCACATTGAGAAGTATTTAAATGTTGTAAACCATCATGTGTTAACGACTCCTGTTAATGATGAGAGCTTGTATTCTTCTCAGGCTTCCAAATGGTAAGTAAAATAGCCAAGTAAATAAAATGAAAAAAAAAAAAACAACTTTTTTCACTCAGGTGAGATAACTATAAAGGTGAAATTTTCTTGGCTTTATTCACTAATTTTTTACTAATTTCAGTAAAAGGTTTGTGGAAGAAGTTAATGGCAGAATTTGGACTTTAGTGAAGTTTATTGTAGGTTACCTCTATTGAGTTCTAAAGCTTCACACCATGACAATTATTTCAGGGTCCTAGGTT